TCGGGGCGCAGGATCACCAGCACCACAACGTCCTTGCGGTCCTCCAGCAGGCGCTGCTGGGCCAGCAGAAAGCTGGCGCGCAAGAGGCCGCTGACCCTGTCTGTGTGGGCCAGCACAAACAGCATCTTGCGGCTGCTGTAAACTGAGGCCCACAGGTTCTCAAAGAGCGTTTTACCGGGTAGCCAGTCACGTTCCTCCAGGCACAGGCGGAGCGCTCGGCGTCCACGGCGCTCCTCTAGCCGTACCCGCAGCTCGTTGTACACCCAGTCGGCCACCGCGCTCTGTGCCTTGTCGAAGACCACAAAGGCATCGTAGGGCAGGGCATCCGCGCCCCGCCGCCGCCCCCGCCGGGGCAGCCAGGCCAGGCACAGGTGGAAGCAGTACCAGAGGTCCCAGCCACAGAGGTGGTGCAGCATGGGCACGGCCAGGCCCAGGGCCACGGTCAGCAGTGAGAGGCCAAAACAGTCCCAGGAGAGGGCCTCATCCAGGCAGAGGCGCAGATCCTGCGCAAAGATGCTGCGGCCCTGGAGCTGACCTGGACTGCCACACTTGACGTGGCCTGGCAGGCCGGGCACTGCAGCCTGCACCTCCAGCAAGAAGTCCACGAAGGCCGCCCCACAGGCGCAGTGCAGGGGGTTGCCAGTCACATCTAGGACTTTCAGGGTGCCCGCTAGAGAACCAAACCAGGAGGGCTCCACCGTCTTGAGGGCGTTGGCACTGAGGTTGAGCTCTCGCAGCCTTGTGGCCAGAGCAAAAAAGCTGGAGGCCACGAAGCTGATGCTGTTGCTGCTGAGGTCCAGCCTCTGGAGCTGGGTCCCGTTAGGCAAGCTGCCGTTGCTCAGGGCCTTCAGCTGGTTTCCCGCCAGGTCCAGGGCTTCCAGCCTGGGGAGGAGGACCAGGCTGCTCCAGTTGAAGAAAGCCAGATAATTGTCACGGAGACGCAGCAGCCGCAGGCTCTTGGGGAGGTTGTCCAGGGTGCGTGGCAAGAGGGTATGCAGGCGATTCTGGGACAGATCCAACCGGACCAGGCTCCTCAGGCCTCGGAAGAAGCGGAGATACAGGTCTCCCTCGGCCAACATCCGGCTCAAGGCATTGCCGCTGAAGTCCAAGGCCCGCAGCGAGGCGCTGCAGAGCTGCTGGGACACACGGCTGTGGATGTCGTTGTGCGCCAGGCTGAGATAGCGCAGGGCCGGCAGCTGTGCCACAAAGCTGAGGTTGTGACCCACGCCCTGCATGCTGAAGGGTTGGCTGTTGTAGCTGAGGTCCAGGGCCTCCAGCCGCGGCAGCTCCGTGAAAGAGCGCCCATGGTACAGGTCCAGCTTGTTATGGGACAGGTCCAGCACCTGCAGGCTGGTCAGCGGCATAAATTGTGAGCCGTTGACTGCCTGCGAGATGCTGTTGCGGCTCAGGAGCAGGCACTGGAGGCGCGAGAGCCGGGCAAACATCTCTGGCTGGATTGTCACTAGGTTGTTCCGTGACAGGTCCAAGGTGAAGTTGAGGGTCTTGCAGCCTGGCATGAAGCCCTCAGAGCTAGGGGTGCCCGGTGGGCCCAGAGCTAGGTCCCCAGATGGCAGCCGGACTCTCTCCCCACCATCCACCTCCCCCGTGGCAGCCGCCAGCTCCATGGCTCCACTTATGCGGTTGTCTGACAGGTCCACGTATCGCAGGCCAGGGAAGGCCCCGAAGATGCTGAGCTGGGCCTGATTGATGAAGTTCATCTGCAGGTGCAGACTCTGGAGCATGGGCAGGTGGACCAGCGACTGGAGCGTGGTCTCGCTGAGCGAGCGGAAGAAGATGCCATGCATGTCCAGCTGCTGCAGGGAGAGCAGGCTCCCGAAGGAGGGCGCCAGATGCAGGTGGGCAAAGGACACCTTCTTGTGGTAATTGAAAGACAAGTTGAGTCTGCGCAGCTGGGCCAGGCCCTGGAAGGCTGTGGTTTTGGTGATGCAGTCGTATAGGAAGTTCTCACTCAGGTCCAGCACCATGAGGTTGCCCAGGGCATGGAACCATCTGGGGTTCAGGTTGTAGAGAGAGCTGTCCTTCAACACCAGGCCTTCGAGGTGGCTCAGGTGGCTGAAGGTGTCAGGGTGCAGGTGCGGGAAGCCCTTGGGGCACTCCATACAGGGGTTGCGGGCGTGGTCACAGCGACGGCAGTTCCCACCCACATCGAGCACACGCAGGGCGGTCAGGTTGGCCAGGTCCTCAGGTGCCAGGGTGATGATGTGGTTGTAGGACAATAGCAGGTACTCCAGGCTGGGGGGCAGGCCGCGGGGCACTGCAGTGAGGTTGTTGTACTTGAGTGACAGGTGCGTAAGGTTGCCCAGGCCAAGGAGGGCGCCCGGGGCCACCTGCAGGGCCTGCGGGCAGGGGTTCTTGTAGTAGCAGTTGCCATCCAGGAACAGGAAGCGCAGGGAGTGCAGCCCTGCGAGGTTGGCAGGGTCCAGCACCAGGATGTTGGTACGGCTCAAGGACAGGGACACGAGGGAACTGGGCAGGGCGGGTACTGTCGTGATGCTGTTGTAGCTCAGGTTCAGCTCCTCCAGGGTGGGCACAGCCAGGAAGGTGTGGGGCTCAATGGTCATGTGACAGGGGAAGTGCATGGGGCTGAGGCTGGCGGGTGGGCAGTTCCATTTGAGGTTGAGACGCCGCAGGCTGGACAGGTGGACAAAGTCGGAGTCGTGGAGGTGGTGGATGCGGTTGGAGTACAGGGAAAGGCTGGTGACATTACCACGGGGCGCTGCTGCCGAGAAGTGGGGCACGGACTTGAGGAACAGCCAGTCGCAATTCACCAGGCCATGGCGCTGGAGCTCACAGGGCAGGAAGGCAGGCAGGGTGCCCTGGGCCAGGGCCACGGCCAGCGCGGCAGCCTGCACCAGGAGAGACAGGGGGTGCAGGGCACCACGGCAGGGGCCCTGCGGGACTGTGAGTGTGCAGCCCCAGCCCAAATCCACCTGCCCCCCTTCCTGGGGTCTCCCAACAGGGCTCCTAAACCCTCTCCCCAAGCCTTCCCCGGGGAGGCTCTTGCCTCTCTGCCCAGCACCCACCCCACTTCTAGGCCTCACGGAGAACTTAGACTCAAGTCTCAGACCCAGCCTTCAACTCAGAACTGCTTCTGCAACCTGGAATCCAGAATCACGATCTAGAACTTTTACTCAAAACCAAACCCCAGCCAGACAGGAGAGCCAGGCAGGCAGTCAACAGGCCCACCAGGTTCTCCCTGACTTTCCCTTTTCCTTCCTCAGAGGTCATTTCTCTTCCTTCCTGAGCAAGGAGTCATCTGGCTCCCTTCCATGCAGCCACCCTGAAAAGCCCCCTGTGTCCTCCACCAACCTCCCCCAACTCCTCCCTCTCCCTTTGGCCAAGTCCCAGGAAGGAATGAGGGTCTTCTGCTGGGGTCCAGGCTGAGGACCACCCAGGGCCCTGGCTGGGATGGGCACTGCCCAGCTCTTCCCCCTCTACCCACCTCTCCCAGCCCAAGCACTCAACCCACTGTAGGTCAGAACAGATCAGAGGGGGTGGGCAGCAACGGGCCAGACAGGGCCTAGTCCTGTCATGTCCACCTTGCTTGTAGCCCCCTTGCCTCCACTGATTGAAGCCCTAGGCCTCAGCCTTCTTATCCACACAATGGGTTTGGGTCTCATTGCCTAGAGAAAGGCGCCTGGTCTGATATCTTCAGGGTTCAGTGAGTGTCCCCAGGGCCAGGTTGGGGGATAACCCCCTTCACTATTGTCTGCAGCCACCAAACCCACCTCTCCCTCACCACTTCCCACTGCCCCCCTTCCCTGGGGGCCTGAGGGCTGCTGTCCTACCATGACAGGGAGTGGGGGCTTCTCCAGAGGGTCTGGATGGCAGACTGGGCAGCGATGGCAGAGAAGAATGCCTGGAGCTCGCAGACCCTTCCCACAGTGTAGGCTCAGAGAACAGAGGAAGTGAGAATTTAGAAATAACACAGTAGCCCCCTCCCTCACCCCCATCCTGCCCACAGCGAGAGGTGGTGGGTGGTGTGGTGAGTCAGAGGCCATTTGCATAGGCAGACGCAGACAGCCCCTTCACTCCTTCCTCTTTCCACTCCCCCACTGCCCCCCACCCTATCCCAACAGTGTGCCACAGCTGGAGAGGGCCTCACACCTGTTATCAGGGAGAGACGGAGGCCCAGAGCCCAGCGTCAGGCCAATGAGAAACTGGAATTGAGGGCAGTGCTGGACGTGGGCTGGGCGTGCTGACCCGATGTCAGGGCACCCTGTCCCAAGAAGACTCTCACCCTCACACCTCAGCCCCTCGGCCCCTGCCCCAAAGGGAGCTCTCTCGGGCCAGTGGTTCCCACATCTGCCCTTTTCCTGTCCCTGCGGCCCCGTCCCCAGAGCTCCGCAGGGCCTGACATACCCGGGAGCACAGCAGCATTGGCCCCAGCCAGGCTGCACCTGCCTCCACCACAGCTAGCCACTTCCTCCAGGAGCAGGGCCTCCTCATCTGCATCCCCAGTGTGCCTGGGGGCCTGTCCAAGCACCTACCCCACCCCACAGCTGGGCCAGCTAGGTGGATCTTCACATGCTCCCTCTGACCCAGTAGATCATAACAGGCCCAAAGTCTCAGGGTGACCTGGGCCCCTCAGCAAGTCTTGTTGGCTCCACCTTCAGAATCTGCCCATCGCCCACCATCTCCACATTCTCTGGCCTGGCCTGAGCCGCCATCATCTCTTCCTAGACCAGTGCAGTTACCACCAAGTCGTGGGTTGCCCTGCTTCTGCTCTCCTACCCCACAGCCTATTCACATTGAGCCCCTAAGTCACGTTACGTCCTTCCTCTGCTCAGACTCCTCCTTGGCCCTTTCTGGAATCAAAGGCACAGTCCACATAATGGCCAAAAAGGTCCTATGGGATCTGGCCTCCCATTGCCTCCCCGACTGGTCTCCACCCACACTGGCCTCCTTTCTCTGGCTTGAATAGTCCCATGCAGTTTCCCACCCCAGGGCCTTTGGACTTACTGTTCTCTCTGCCTGGAAGCTCTTTTCCTAGATATTCACATGGCCCCTTCCATTGCCCCCTTTATATCTCAGCTCACACATTACCCTCTGGAGGCCTTCCCCAACCTTCTTTTACACCTCTCACCCTGGATCTGGCACTCCTAAGCCCCTTTTACCTGCTGCTTTTCTTCGTCCTAAGTTTTTACCTGCTAACACATCATACCATTGATTTTCCATGGTTTCTTGTAGTTTGTCTTATTCCGCTGCTGGAATGTCTGCTTCTTAATGGCAAGAGTCTTTTTGTCTGTATACCCAGGGCCGAGAGTGCCCAGAACATCATAAGGTGGTCACGATTTGCTAAGCCCATGAGTCTCCAGCACTCAGCTCTGGGCAGGCACAGAATGTCTCTGAATGATGGCTGGATGAATTAATGAATGAACAAATAGGGCTTTGGCTTGGGCTAGATACCTGCTACCCTTGCTTTTCCATGCCCACCTCTGGGTGGCTATCCTGGAAGGTAGGTTCCAGGCTTCCAGGCATCCAGCTGGCACACAGGCCCAGGGCTTTAGCAGTGTGGGAGTGATGGCACGGTCTTCCTACCCACCTAGGAACCAGTGTTTGGGGATGGATGAGGACAGGCCACCCTCTCTAGATCCTGACTAGGGTTCCAGCTCTCCTCTTTGTAATTCTAGGGTCTTTAGTAGGGGCTGGGAAAGGCCTCAGGGATGGGACACTCCCCTGAGCCCCAGCCCAAGATGTGCTCCCCAAAGAAAGGACAGTGCCCATTCAGCAGCTGAGTCCCAGCCACTGACCCCTCATGTCCCCATCCCTACACACCTCCCACCTGGCATAGGAGGGGTCTCCCACCCCCTTCTCAGGTACAGACTGAATTTCTGGCTCCCACTGAATCCCAAGCCTAAAGAGTCCCTCCCAGAGACCCTGGGACCAGGGAGCCAGACCCTTGTGGGCAGAAACGCAAATATGAGGGAGAGGGCCAATGAGCTGACAGGTCTGCACGCACACACACACATGTGGACTGGAGACACGAAGATCCAGAGGTCCAAGATCCATGCCGCAGCCCCAAAGAGGCCAGGAAGCCCAGCAGGCAGAATGTACCCAGTGTGGCAGACTGAAGAATGCCCCAAGGAGATCCACATCCTAATCCCCAGAATCTATGAATATGTTACTATACAGGATAAAAGGGGCCTTGCAGGTGGGAGGAAGTGAAGGATCCTGAGCGGGGAGAGTATCTGGAAAGCGGGGAGGTGAATATAATCACAAGCATCCTTGAGACAGAGGCACAGGGGGTCTGACTACTGAAGGAGGCATGTGACCGGGAAGCAGGATCGGAGATATCACCTCTCTGGTTTGAAGATGGGAGCAGGGAATGCAGGCAGCCTTTCAAGCCAGACAAGGTGACAGATGCTCCCCCCCCCTCCTCCCAAAGGAACAAGTCCTGCCAGCAACTGGATTTCAGCCCTATCAGACTTTGACCTTGTTAGCTTCACAAGAAGTGCTAAGATAGTAAATATGTGGGGGTTTAAGCCACTAAGCTTATGGTATTTTGTTACAGCAGCCACAGGACACTAATACACCCAGATGCTCCATATCACCGTGAAGGTGTGCCTGCCTTTTGGGCCAAGCTCCTGTCAACAAGGGGACCTGTGTGAGGCTTGTGTTCTCACACACACAGACACACGTCTTCCCATACACCTGTAGCCAGGAGTGCTGGAGCCCCACCTAACAGGCTCACAGACCCGCTTCGAAGGTGAAAGCATGCAGTTATATACACGGGGCCTCCCGATTCCCAGTGTCAGAGGTGGATCCCTCAGGGCCAGACTCAGGTGTTGATTTAAAAATATTTTATTCTTTAAAAAATACAGCATTCAACCATCTTATTCTGCAGGGACACCCTACCCCAGCCCTGACTAAACCCACCCCTGTGGCCAAGGCTTCTGGGATGTGCTAGGATCCTAGTCTCAGTTCCCCTGGGGGCCAAGCTCATTCTAGGCTCCCTACCCAGCGCCCTTGAGCCAGGCAGGCAGGGTCCCCAGACCCCCTGGGCACACAGATGAGAGGCAGGGACAGCAACAGGGGAAGGTCACAAAATGCCAGCTCCAGTGGCTCTCAGAAGCTGCAAGAGTGTTCTGTCAGCAGCTCTCCTGCCCCACAAGAAGCAAGCCTCCCCTGGAGCCCAGGCTGGGAAGGAGGCAGGTGGCCGGGAGCGGTGGGGCACACATCCCCACAGTCCACATGCCGGGGCAGCTCAGGTCCGGCCACCTAGCTGTCATCCCCGTTCTCGCCAGGACCACGGATGAGGCGCTTGTGGCCCCGCTTGCCCCCTGGGCCCTTGGGCTTGGCGAAGGCCTGCTTGAAGGCGTGTTGTTTGGGGTGCACCTCGTCGTAGAGGAACTCGGCTGTCAGCTCCGCCCCATCTCCAATCTCAATCTGCATGGGGCAAGGCAGTGGTCTGGTGGGGGGCCCCCGACACATACCACCCTTGGTCACCTCCACTCCTAGGGCAGCCCCTTGACCTCTCACACTCTAGCCTTGGGGTCTCCTCCCAGATCCCCCCACCTGGAATGCCACCTCCAGGAACACATTGCTGGGGCCCACTGCCCTGCACGCCTTGGTGACACCCTATCTGCCTTTCAGACCCTGGGAGAGCAGAGTCATGGGCGGCCAAGACAAGGGCTTGTCCATGCCACCAGTCAGATGGGCACCTTGGGAATGCATGCTACCCCTTGGGCCTCATCCACGTCCATCCCACAAGGCAATAATGACCCCTGCCCTGCCACTGTCTTGGGACTCCAATGCCCCATGTGGAGGGTGGTGTTAAAGGCCCCTTGGTTGATGAGGCTCTGGGGAATGGGCACCCACCTTCTTGGAGATCTCCAGCTGGAAGTCCTGCTCCACGGAGTCGAGGAGGCGACTCTTACAGCTGGAATAGAGCATGCGCTCCTTGATGCTGCACTTGTACCCCGGCATCGAGTAGATGAACACTGTGGGGAATGGGGACGTGAGCAGAGGCTGGGGGACCTGCTGACCCACGCCCCCTGCAGCAAGCCCACCCAGCCATAGGCCAGTGCTGCTTCTATTCAGCCACGGGCGTGGGGGCGCTGCTGTGGCCACTCACCCACAGACTCAAGGTGGTCACCCTCATGGGTGTGCTTGTAGAGGAAGAAGTGGTAGCGGGCAGCATCTCGGGGCACCCTCGAGGGCAGCTGGGCCACTTCCGTGGGCTCTGTGTGCACCAGCTCAATGGTCTCCCGCTCCAGGTCCAGCTTCTACCAAGGGTAAGGGCGAGGTGAGGGCCTGAGCAGCAGAGGGCCCGGACCCACCCTAGCAAACAAGAAGTCCCCAAGGTGACAGGCAGGAGTCTGACTGTGGTCTCCCTTTCCCAGGATTCCCCACCTCAGTGGCCATCCACCATGGGGTCCCCGCGAAGAGGCCACTCCTGAGCCCCCACCTCTGCCTTTGAAAGCTCTACGAGAGGAGGAAGTCCCACCAGGGGCAGTGGACAGGACAGTGGGGAAGGTCTCCACCTGAGGGAGAGGCCTCTTGGGGGACACATCATTTTGCTTGGAATGGGGAAGTCTAGGAGCACTTGGCTAGCTCAGTCAGCGGAACATGTGACTCGATCTTGTGAGTTCAAGCCCCACGTTGGGGCTTTAATGTTTTTACTTATTTTTGAGAAAGAGAAAGAGCACAAGCAGGGGAGGGGAAGAGAGAGAGGCAGACACAGAATCTGAAGCAGGCTCCAGGCTCTGAGCTGTCAGAACAGAGCCTGACACAGAGCTCAAACTTGTGAACCGTGAGATCATGACCTGAGATGAAGTCGGACACTCAACCGAGCCACCCAGGAGTCACAGGCATAGGGCTTACATTAAAAAAAAAAAGAAGGCGTACCTGGGTGGCTCAGTTAGTTAAGCGTCCTCCTCTTGATTTCTTTTTTTTTTTTTAATGTTTTATTTAAAATGAGTGGGGGAGGGGCAGAGAGAGAGAGGGGGGGACAGAGGCTCCAAAGCAGGCTCTGTGCTGACAGTGGAGAGCCCCATGTAGGGCTCGAACTCATAAACTGCGACATAGTGACCTAAGCTGCTGAAGTCGGATGCTCAACTGACTGAGCCACCCAGGTGCCCCCCCTTTTTTTCAATTGTGTATTTATTTTGAGAGAGCGAGACAGAGAGAGAGACATAGCACATTTGAGCAGGAGAAGGGCAAAGAGAGAGAGAGAATCCCAAGCAGGTTCTGCACTGTCACTGTGGAGCCCAACAAGGGGCTCGAACTCACAAACCATAAGATCATGACCTGAGCCAAAACCAAGAGTTGAATGCTTAACTGACTGAGCCACCCAGGCGCTCCCCGACTCTTGATTTAAAGTCATGATCTCACAGTTCAGAAGACTGAGCCCTGTGCTGGGGTCTGTGCTAACAGCGCAGAGCCTGCTTGGGATTCTCTCTTGCCCTCTCTGCCCCTCCCCTGATCATGCATGCATGAGCACGTGCTTTCTGTTTCAAAAATAAATACGTAAACATTAAAAAAAAAGAAAAAGAAAAAGAAAGAAAGCGGGAAGCCTAGGCCGCTGGAGCAGAAAGACCCAACCTGGGGAAGGAGGCAGTCAGGGGAGCTGCAGAGGGAGTCTAGGACAGGAAGGGGCTCAGGTCTGAGAAGTCAGTGTGAACTCCAGGCTGAGTACGTGTACACAGTAAGAAGGGCAGAATGAGGG